GCCATACTCAAGACAACAGTTGGACGAACATCTCAAGTAGCGTAGAAGCTACTTGACCGCACCCCAGTGGTGCTTCCCCGGATTGCCCATGAAGCGGCTCACAACTCCCACTCCTTGTGCAATATCTGGCCTCGTGCACACCATCTCATACATCAAACTCCCGACGGCAGATGCGTATGGTATGTTGGCCATGAACTCATGTTATTCAACAGTCTCTGGTGCTTGGGTCTTTGATAGCTTGAAATGGCTTGCAAAAGGCGAGCTCACCGGTTTAGCTTTCTCCATGCCAAACTTTTCAAGAGTCTTATTAATGTAGGCCTTCTGAGACAACCTCAACCTCCGTGCTGATCTGTCTCTGATGATCCTTATCCCAAGAATCTGGTTTACTGGACCCAGATCCTTCATCTCGAAGCACTCGGAGAAACGCCTCTTGAGTTCTTCATTGCAGGCCAAGTCAGGCCCAGCAGTTAACATGTCATCAACATAAATCAAGAGTATCATATAGGATTCACCATATCTCTTGATGAAGCAACAGTGGTCTGTGTCGCATTTGAGAAAACCGTTCTCCTCCATATAGTTCTCGAACTTCATGTACTACTGTCGCAGAGCTTGCTTCATGCTATACAAGCTCTTGCGCAGGCGACACATGAGGTCCTCCCTGCCTTGTTCCTCGAAGCCCACTGGTTGATGTATATAAATCTCTTCCTCTAAATCTCCATGAAGGAATTCCATCTTCACATCCATCTGCTCTAGATGGAGATCTCGAACTGCCACAATGCTCAGCATAGTCTGGATCGTGGTTAACTTGACGATGGGAGCAAAAACGTCAGAATAGTCAATCCCTGCTTTCTGCTCATAGACCTTCACTACAAGCCTCTCCTTGTAGCGCCTCCGTCCATCGGTTTCATCCTTGACCCGATAAATCCACCGATTGTGAAGAGCCTCTCGCCTTTTTGGAAGCTTTACGATCTCCCAAGTCCTATTCTTTATCAAGGATTTCATTTCTTCCTCCATGGCAGACTCCCACTTGCCCTGAGCTTTTCCAGTCTGCTGTACCTCCTCATAGCTCTCTGGCTCACCACTGTCAGCCAGGAGAAGATAATTCATGGTGGATAGGCACCTCTCTGGCACCCTTGGATTTCTTGGAGCTTTGCGAACTGCGATCGACAGTTCTGCTGGATTCTGCTGTTGAGCATCCAACACGTTCTCTTGGTCTCCGTCTTCTATGTTGACTGGTATCTCACCGTCGTCCTCACTGTTAGCAATACCTGAGAAAAGAGAGGGAGATAGCTGACTCCCACTCATCGCTTTGGTCTTGTTTACCGCATTCTCATGGAACACGACGTCACGACTATGCACCACCTTGTGTGCATTGTGATCCCAGAAACGGTACCCATACTCATCTCTCCATAGCCGATGAAAGAGAGCTTCTTTGACTTTGGATTAAGTTTTGATCGGTATGCAGGATTGGTCATGACATAGACGTCACAACCAAATACTCGTAAGTGCTCTAGCTTCAGCTTCTTTCCAGTCCAAGCCTCTTCAGGTATCCCATAACAGAGAGCCGCGGATGGCCCACGATTTATCAAGTATGTAGCAGTATTGACAGCTTCGGTCCAAAAACTCTTGGGCAATTCGAAGTGGATCCTCATACTTCTGGCGCGCTCTAAGATAGTGCGATTCATATGCTCTGCCACTCCGTTGTGCTGAGATGTACCTGGGACGGTCTTCAGTCTCCTAATCCCATAGGACGAACAGAAGTTCTCGAACTCCTGGCTACAATACTCGCCTCCATTATCAAACTTTAGATACTTCAGCTTATTGCCTATTTTGTTCTCCACATAGGCAAGCCACTTCTTGAAAATGATTTTGTGCTTCAAGAAGAACACCCACAATTTTCTAGTAGCATCATCAATGAAAGAGACAAAGTAAAGAGAGTTGCCAACAGATGAGACTTGCACAGGTCCCCACACGTCGGTGTGTACCAACTTCAATTTCTGTAGTTTTGGAGTCGGTCCGGTCTTGTTGAAGCTCACCTTCTTCTGTTTGTCTAGGATACAGTCCTCACAGAAAGTCCGATCGACATTGCTCAGACCTGGAAGCCTCTCTCCCGCGGCCATAATCTGCATCCCCTTCTCGCTCACGTAGCCAAGTCGCCGATGCCAAGTCATGCAGTTGGCGGATGATATGATGCTTGTCCTACGATAAGCAAGCAGTCAATCTTTCCATTGGCGATGTAGAGAGACCCCTCGTGTTTGCCGTGTGCTACTACCAGGGCACCCTTGGACACCTTCCAGCTTCACTGGTCGAAGAATACTCTGTAACCGGAGTCGGTCAGTTGCCCGACTGATATAAGATTTCGCCTGAGATCCGGTACATGCCGAACGTTGTTCAGTGTCAAGGTGGTCCTGCCCTCCATCTTGAGGGTGCAATTTCCCTTCTCGGAAACCTTGCAAGGTTGATCGTCGCCAAGATAGACTGTCCCCAAGTCCTTCTTCACGAACAATGAAAGCAACTTTTGTTGTGAGGTTGCATGGAAATATGCGCCAGAGTCGATGACCCATGCATCGCTTTTGTCTTCTAGGGATAGGAGAAGCGCATCCGAATCTGTTTCGTGCATGAGATTGGCTGCACTGTCAGCATGATTATCCCCTGCTGATGCTAGAATAGAAGCTCTGCAGTCCCATATAAAGTGACCCTTCTTTCCATATCTGAAGAACTTCCCTTCACCGTAACCATTCGGGTCCGGCCCTTTAGACTTCCCTCTGGTCTTTGATCAGCCTCGTCATCCCTACCATTCTTTTGTGCACGCCCTCGTGCCTTGACATGCAGAATACTCCCACTGCTACAAAGCTGTATTCTCTATCAAGAGGTCTTCTGACAGGTTTGGAAGTGAGAGGCCCTTTAGACTTCCCTCTGGTCTTTGATCAGCCTCGTCATCCCTACCCTTCTTTTGTGCACGCCCTCGTGCCTTGACATGCAGAATACTCCCACTGCTACAAAGCTGTATTCTCTATCAAGAGGTCTTCTGACAGGTTTGGAAGTGAGAGGCCCTTTAGACTTCCCTCTGGTCTTTGATCAGCCTCGTCATCCCTACCCTTCTTTTGTGCACGCCCTCGTGCCTTGACATGCAGAATACTCCCACTGCTACAAAGCTGTATTCTCTATCAAGAGGTCTTCTGACAGGTTTGGAAGTGAGAGGTCATTCTTCCACACCTCGACACTTCTCAGGTCTTGATAAGAGATGGGCCTCACACCTAAGGGCACCACACCTCGACACTTCTCATGTCATATTTTTAGCATTTCACATGCTTACAAAGGTTTCACATCTTAAAAAATTTTCTTTTTATTAATCATGTTCTAATTCCTCAATAGAGAATTACAGTTTTATTTATAGAAAAAAACTAAACATGGAAAGTAAATTAGGTCCTAACTAAATCCTAGGAAAGAGGAAACAAAGATAATATCTCTAACAAAATAAACTCAGAAATCCTAATAATCGTAAATCAAATCCTATGGAGATCTTCACCTAAAATTGGGAGATTTTATCAAATATTACTAAAATAACAAAGATGCCAGTAAATCTATAAAATTCGTAATAGATGGCTAACGATCGCGTTGCATCATAAACTCAAAATCGTCATTTAGGATCCTCTTCATTATACGCCATTCAAGATCCTCTTTCCTTTATCATGTATTCCTGCTCAACCTGAGCTTCATATGCCCAAAACTTTGCTTTTGGTCACGTTAACTTTAGTTTTATTGATTTTGTACACTTTGTCTGTTCAAAGCTTAAAATGCAAATTTTATGTCAAATAACCTGTGATACCCGGACACGGCCAATTCCGTGTTGTACCTGTGTCGGGTACGTTTTGGGTGCGGTTCCGCACCCAAATGCCAGGGACACGGGAGCCAAAAAAAAGACCCACACGTGGGAGCAATTTAAGAGGGGGAAATGGGTTAGTTTGTTATCGGGTCTGGTTTTTTAATGCGATAACCCATTCCGATTCATTTAAGTCATCTGTTAATGCGATCTTACCTTTGTGTCGTTTCTTTCTCACTTCCAAACCTGTCAGAAGACCTCTTGATAGAGAATAGATAATGGAAGTAGCGGGATGCCTTTTCTCTTTTGGGTTTACTGGAGAAGAAGAATAGAGAAGAAAGTGTTTGTATTTTAAGAAGCTTTATTAGGTTAGTGGAAGATGACACGGATGATGATGTCATCCAAAGAAAGATCACATGGGAGGGCAAGGTTACTAAGGAATTTGTTCTTTTTGTCCTGCAAAACATGAAATATGAATGATGTGAAAAGCAGTACGCAAATGTAAAAGGTTCAGATAACTTTGAATGATAACAATAATATACAATTTGCTAGAGACAGTAAAATCATAGTTACACTTTAGACAAGATAAATGTATATATTATTTTATGTTGAGCAATATGGAGGAACTTGGTACCAAGCACAAGTTTTTGTGCTTGGTAGTGAGGTGACACATTCCCATCCACTCATTCAAATGGGGGACCACATTCACATGGGTTGGGGAGTGGATGAGAATGTGACACCTCACTACCAAGCACAAAATTTGTGCTTGGTACCAAGCATACTCATTTCTCTCTCTCTATATATATGTGTGTGTGTGTCTGTATATATATATATATATATATATATATAATTTTTTCAGCTATGTCCTTGTACCTTATATTTTACAAATTTGCCCTGTTCGTACCGGCACCGGCATTCGTGCCTGTACGCCTGCAACTTAGCAAATAACTGAAGATTATCAGACAACAACTAACAGTTCTAACTCTCCTTTTTTGAACTTAAAAAAATATATCGTTGTCAATTGCTTTTTTCTCCTTTCACCAAATGTATGCATGTGAGCATTATGCTTCCTGTCTTGTGTAGTGTTGTCTTAATTTTTCATTGCTAACAAAATGCTTCTTTGTTATTCAATTCTGCTATTACCTTGCGTGCTTTCTTGACACTTTTATTCATATGATGCAGGTATCGCCTAAGGTCCAAAGTTGAGATCGACAACCTTGACGATGAATTCTCGTGTTGGCAACGCTTTGGTGGCAATCTCTTCAACAGTGACCAAGAAAATCTTGAACCAGAGGCTGGTTCAGTCGGCTGGGAGATGGGTGTTGATCGTGCTGGTGCATCTGCTGCACACGGAAATAATTCAGGTTGGCAATGGTTTAAGGATCCTAGATTGGACTGCCTAGGATTCAGGGGAATTTTCCCATCCAGTACAACTCGTAAGATTGTAGTCACTACGATTTATTTTTTTTCCATATGTGCTTTCTATTTATTTCATACATAGTTGCTTTACTTTTTGTTTACAGCACCATTGGTTGAATCTGATAAGGAAGCCAATGAAGAACATTACCTGCAATGGAGAGTAGAGAGAGGAATCGCCGAAGGTTCAACCAAAATTCCAAAAGGTATACTCGTTTTTTTAATGTCTTTGTCATTCCTAGTTTTGCCTTTCAAATTTTTGTACTGGCATTTTATCATAATAAGTGAATCCCTAAAATGGTAGAATGTATCATGAACATATCATGAACATAAGGCATTTGATCAAAATTGTCAACATAGGAACCATTGGAGTTTTGAAGGGCAAGCTGAAATATTTAAGTGTACCGTATTTGTAAATTGGAAACTATAAATGTATCATGTAACCATGTTCTTTATAGAAGTGATCCTCTATATTCTATAGGTATGCGTAAATGGGAAGTTACGAATAAGTACTTACGTAACTACATTCTTAGAAGTGATATGAATCTTGGTTAAAGTGATTAATATAGACCTGAACAAGGGCGGAGCCATATGGGAGCCAATAGGGCCCTCACCCCCACTGGAAACTAGGAAAAAAAAGGAGGTATTGGTATATTGTAAATTTTGAAGTATAGGGACTAAACTGTAAATGAGCCAATTAAAAGAGAAGCAGAATTCTTTCTTGCGTTTAGACTTGCCTTGTAGAAGAAAATTTTAATGCTCATCATCTTTTCTTCTTTTGAGTTGCCATAATTTTGTTATTTGCTTTGTTTTTTTGGGGATCAATTGTGAAGGGGATGAACGGGTGACTTTTTAATGAAGTGGTGACAAGTAGAATGGCTAGTTGTCTACGTATGGAGTGATATGTAATTAGAGCAGTTAATTTGGTAACTGACATGTCTACAACGTGTTTGAGCAAATGTCTAGAAGAAGCTACGTGCATAATTTAAATCCAGTTTAGTACTAAAGCAGAAACCAAGCTCTCACATTGAGAGTTTTGGGACAGTAAATTTAGCTTGAAGAAGAAATTTAACCTGAGGAACTTGCATGTTCAAACATGGTAATATGATATAATGATCTCTGGAGAAAATATGATTTTAGTTACCACATTGAGCTTTAGTTCTATGAGTGAAAACCTAGATTTTTGAGGGATGTTTCTGAAGTTACATTGCGAATTTCTTTCTCTCACATGATTTTCGTTGGATTTGGGTTTTGCAGATGGCAATAGGCAAGGAAGGTTTATATTTATGTAGAGCTACTGTTCCATGAGGGTAGTTACTGTCACATTAAAGCCATCATCTTGTTTAGATTTTAATAAATTTTGTTTAAAAATAGTATTTAATTATTTTTGGACCCCATCCCCACCACAGAAATTCCTGGCTCTGCCACTGGAACTGCATTTAGGGAAGGGTGCCAGCTGAAATATTTAAGTGTTTTTTTATTGTTATTGAAGTCGAAAGGAAATGATGCATCTTGATGATTTATTGATAGTGAGTGTGAGTGGGGTGCCTCTCCATGTTGACAACACATCAAAACGAAAATATGAGGGGTTTGGCTACAATAGATTGTAGTTGATTTTGTATAACGGCAGTTAACGGCAAAACGATTGATATTAAGATTAACAACAGTTGCTAATGTCTAACAGAAGACAATGCAGATTGCAGAGTAAGTTTGGGTAATAGTGTGTGAACAAGAGCTAGCAACTTTTTGGTTGTAATACTCGGTGCTTTGGTTGTAGTTTTGTCTGTCAACTAATATTTATCAAAATCATCCCAAAGAAAAATTGGTGTTAAATTGAAAAATAGATGAGAAATAAAGGTTTTTCAGCCTTTTTCTTATTGAGTTTTTGTAGGAGCGAAGTTTGTTCCTATAGGTGTTGCTGCTTGAATATACTTGAGGAATCCCTTTATAAAGTGGGTATCTTTAGGGCATGATTGTTACTGCGTCCAATGTGAGTAAGCGAATGGATGCATGCATATGTGCATGTACACGAATGTGCATGTGTTTGCACTTTTTTATATCTAAATAGTACAGACCAAAAGGTAAATGTAAAAAAGAAAAAGACAATACTAATATCATGCCATATGCTCTAGTCAAGCAAGTAAATGAAAGAAAATGACGAGTATAAAGTTAAATACATTGCCCCACCTGATATAACTTTATGAAGTATCTCACATTTGTCATGTGTTAAGTGTTTGCAAGGCGTTAGATGATGTTGAGATAGTATCCTGATGAAAATGGAGTTTTATGCCCCCTCGAGTTGACAAATGACTCCAATGTTTCTGCACATGATTTTTATGACTTTTTAGCAGCTGATACAGCTCTGGTATGCAATTTTTTTTGGCTCTATACTGTCCATTATGTGCCTTGTAGGTGTTATGCAGCTGGTTGTATCGAAAGGATATCCACTTAAAATCTCCATCATGCAGAGTTATTGCTTGCCATTTATTTCACATTGTGTTACCTCATAGTTTTGCATGTATGGATTAAAATCAAGTTCTTGATTCACATGTGCCAGGTGATGCCATTCCTCTTGAGTACAACCTTGTGGGGCTAAACGCCATATCTTTTGATGAAGGATGCTATGTCGGTCAGGAACTTGTTGCTCGAACACACCACCGTGGTGTAATTCGCAAACGTTTGCTCCCAATGAAATTCACCGACGATAACGGACGAGGTATCAATGTTCGCCCGTAAATTCAATTCTGTGTAGTAACACCTCTAACATCTTGTTATATTTTTTTTATCAGATATGGAGCAAAAGGTGTCCCCAGGATCAGAAGTGATAGATTTGAGTTCAAATAAGAAGGTTGGGTCTGTGAATACCGCTCTTGGGAGTTGTGGGATGGGCTTATTGAAACTTGAAGACGCCTTCAAGAAATCTGGGAATTTGAGAATTAAAGAGAGGGATGATGTGAAGGTGAAGGTTATAAGGCCAGATTGGTGGCCAGCAGAATGGACACAGTTGCACGAACAACAAACTGCACCTGCTTAAAGATATCGAAAAACCTCAATGCACCTGCATGGGGACTGATAATTAAGGGGCAAAAACCTCCAGCTCTGGTATTTTATGTCCCAGAGATTTGGAGTTGGGTAGTTCTGGTATATATTCTAGTTACGTATTCTACAATTCCGAGTCCAAAGCTAAAAGTGTTGTAGCTGTAACAAGTTTTGAAGGTGAATAAAAAGGTTGCTCACCGCACCTTTAAATGCTTACCCTTGTATTCTAATTTTTTTTTATACATAAAAAAAAGTTTATTTGTTTAGAACGATGAATCTATTCCTCTTTGAATGAGGAAGAGAAGCGGTGGGAGTATTAATTAGCGGGCGGACAAAAGGAGGAAACTCGGGATAAAGATCAATTACCAGAACTTTGGGATAAAATTATTTGGTTGTTATCGAATGTACTACCTCATTATATAATTTGAACAGCTTTTGTTCTTGAAGGATAACATTTAGTACGTTACTAATGCCACGAATTGAATGAAATTAGAGCCGTGAACATAATTGGGCTTGGTTTATTTTCTGAATACTGGGCGGGGTTGCGCGGTTAGCCCACTGGGCTAAACAGCTCAACTGTGCCCATATGCACTCAAGAGGGTATCTCTCTCTCTCTCTCTCTCTCTCTCATCTGCAAGCTCTAACCCTAATCGTCTTCAATTTCATCAAAATTGACAGTTTTGCATTGATTTCTTTCATCACAGTAAGGGTATTTCGTCGTCAGCGTTGCCGTATAAGAGGACTCCGCCGAGCTGGCTCAAGATCTCCTCTCAAGATGTAAGAGAATCTCCCCACTCCCTCGGAAGTTTTTTTTTAAAAAAAATCTTTTTAGTTCTTTGCCTATAAACCTCCGAGTCTACCCTGTTTGCAGATCTACCCCCCAAATGTAGATGTTTTCTTATTACCCCCCCGCAAATCTACTTCATTGAGTTAACGCACCCCCTCCAACCCACATAATTGTCTTCGTAATAAATGATTGGAAATGAACTTTCCGAAATCTCAGATTCGTTTTCTCAGGAGACGGTGCTTAGGGCAAGACAATGTTGTAGAGTTGGGGGTTGAATTATCAAATATGTAGATTTGGGGTAAATTTTGCTTGTGGGATTCATGTGGGGGTGAATTTGCTAGTGTGTTTTACTTGGGTCATATGGGTATAAAGCCATACTTATTTACGACGAGGTTTTAATTTGATGAAGCTTGTTCTTCTTCTAGGTGGAAGAGAACATCTGCAAGTTTGCGAAGAAGGGACTGACACCGTCGCAGATTGGTGTCATCCTCCGTGATTCTCACGGAATTGCACAGGTGAAGAGTGTTACTGGAAGCAAGATCCTTCGCATTCTCAAGGGTCATGGTACTTTTCTGAGTCCAAGTCTTGTTTTCATTTCAAAGGGTTGTTTGGTTGACTGCTTTCTAACGTTTGGTTAGCAACAAGCTAGTCTAGAATTGTGATTGGACGTACATTTTGCAGGAAAATCTATAACATTTGGCTTTTATTAGTTTAAAATTATAATTAATTAATGCCACATCAGCAAGCTAGTGGATTTCAAATTGGACAATATTGATCTTTATAATTGTAGATAAACAAACACTTGATTTGCAATGAAATTACATTTCCTACAAAACAAAATATGCAACTCCAGCAGCTTTTTCTATCAATCAAATATGGATTTGGACTTGAAAAGACATCTGCAACAAAAACTGAGACATCAAAACGACAGGTTTGAGGTTAAGTTCCTGCACAATGTTTCATTTTCTGAATGCAACATTTGCTTCATTTACAGTTGCAGCATGCCAAACACCTTGAAATAGTTTTGATTATGTTAATCGGTTTTGACTGGTTTCTTGGGTTTAGGGCTTGCTCCTGAGATCCCAGAGGATCTGTATCACTTGATCAAGAAGGCGGTGGCGATCAGGAAGCACTTGGAGAGAAACAGGAAAGATAAGGACTCTAAGTTCAGGCTTATCCTTGTTGAGAGCAGGATTCACCGTCTTGCTCGATATTACAAGAGGACCAAGAAGCTTCCTCCTGTCTGGAAATAGTGAGTACATTGTTCCCCTTTCTTCTCAAACTCATATTGCGATTATGGGAAGCGTTATTAAGTTCAAGTGATTGTAGAAGATTGATCTTTTTTCATTTTGGTAATAAGGAAGCTTGGTCTATGCTAAAGTATTGGGCTTATGTTATTGCGTCAAGTGATGATCCTCATCAATTTTATGATTCTTTTGGGTTCGTATTCGAAAGTTGTCCAAGTTTGTCTTCGTATGATTACTACTCGTCATACTCGATGTAGTTTGTCGATTGCGTAACATAGTATTGAGCAAGGTTGCATAGGTACGGGTACGGGTACAGGACAGTAAATTTGTAAAAAGTAGGGTACGGGGACACGACTCATTCTCTCTCTCTATATATATATATATTAAAAATTAACAATTATATTAACTATAGCAATTTTACTATGTTTAATTTCAAATTGAGAAATAAGCTCATTCCTTTAAAAAAACCTACAAATTGACTTCATACCATCAAGTTAGTGGACTCTTTAACTCAAAAAATATTGTGTCACCCACACCAAGATTATGTGAGATAAACAAGGTTCAAGGGTCTATGTGAAAAAACACTAGTCTAGAGGGAGGTGGGCTTTTGTGAGTAAACCAAAAAGCTAGTTGAGCTCAATTAAACAGGCCGAATGATACCTTGAATAAACGTTCCCACAACAAATCAACGGCCCAGATCCTCCAACCCTAGAACGACTGCCTCAGATCCACCCTCATCCTATTCCCACTTCCTATAAATGCCCTTCCTCATTCCTCACCCCAAACCCTAACCCTAGAAAACCCACCTCCCCTCAAATCCTCCCCTCAAAACCCTAATCTCCCCTCCCCCGTCGGCGCACTCCCCTGCCGGAGCCCCTCAAAACCGCCGTCAACATGCAGATCTTCGTCAAAACCCTCACCGGCAAGACCATCTCCCGATCCT